AGCGGGGGTTCTACCACACACACAAGCGTATTTTTTAAAAACATTACTTTGAACTTCACAGTAGGGGGACAAGATAAATAAATTGCAATACACAAAAAAACATGGCAGAACAATTACTGCGGCGTCAAGCACTGTTGAAGCACATCACACCTTAAAATTTCTTTATGGTCAGTGGGGCTTCTACCTTTTCTAACCTTAAAAAAGCACATTCACCTGCGTCTGCCTGTGAACACGGTGAAAATACCTTCCCCTGCCTGAAAATGCAGTGAAAGTAAATTTCATGTTTCACAAACATACACGTCCTGTATACACGCTTCACAATACAACATGAAATATTGCCGTAATAATGCGTAATACAAGCGTACATTGCTATCGGGTATAAGAACATGCGATTATCACTATAACCCCATGGATAAAAACCGGTGACGCACTGCACAGGGCACCTAAGATACTGCGCTTATTGCTTTAGGACCATGTAACGGGGGCACAGCTAGTTCGAAAATATTTCATGCACTAAGGATTGGAAGTCGCGCTAGGGATAGGATATCACTATCACGTTCAACGTTTAAAGGCAATGCCCCAATTTTCAACGTTACATTCACACAGAGGATTGCTTGCTTCATGAGGGTACTTATTGATTTAGCAAGACTTAATAATTTAAGTGGTGCTGTAAACACCACGTGAACCCCGGCACTTTGACCAATTTTTTTGAGTTTGTGAAATATCCGGTGTTTGTACGGAAGAGCAGCTATCTTTGCGCACTTTTCTGCCGTGTTACCCGGAGTTTTAGTTTGTTCTTTCTCCTGCTCAGTCACTAGTCAGGGAAATGGACTCCGCGACAGACGCAAAGAACGCCTCTGGAATATCTGCAACCACAAGCCGGGACGCTTGATCTTTAAGAATTGCCGACGTAATTTGATGGCCTGTTCGAAGCATTCACAAGGCAGGCTAACGCTCTGCCTCCCTTCACTATAGCTTGCTCTGGATGGAAGAAAAACAAAGCATTGGTTTCTGCTAACATGGTTCGTAAACTAAGAAATATATTGTGCACCAAAAACCAGCCCTAACACTAATGATAGCAAACTGTCATTCTCGAGCGTCTCATGTGTCAACACAAGAGGCTTCAAATAGTTTTGTAACTAGCTTAATGTTTTATTCGATAAGAAGTAAAACGTGGAAGAATTACACTTCAGATAAACTACAAATCTCTTGTACTTATCTAACTACTTTGATGTAATACGTACCATCCTACTATATATCTGTAGTAAAGTGCCCATTCCGGCTAACAGCAAATCTCTAAGTAAAGTTGCTATGCACAAGCCAATTGAAACCTCTTTTTTTCTGCAGGTAAATGAAATCGTTTGATTATCTGCTGAAGAAAGGGTAACATCGATGCTCAAGGTACGTGGTATCTGCCTTTCTTTTGTTTATTTTTTTTATTCAGTGCGAAACCACACGAATTTTGGCATGACACGTTGCGGGTAGCGTCTGATGAGGTTCTAAAAGCTTTCGCCTGGATAAATAGGTGTTGTGTTCTCACGTACCTCTCCTTTCTATATAAATGCTTTATTGAAGTCAAATTGATAGTAAATGGAACAAGAAACATATGCGATATCTTTGTGATCAATTATTCTGCTTATGGTGCATCTGTGCACGAAGTCTCCGCTGATTTTTGTGCACATGCGGCTCTCACGCAACTTTGAGCGTCATTCTTGTTAGTTCCTACCTAATTTGTGCAACATTGCGTAGAATTGTAGTTACTTGAGTGCAGTAGGACTATGTAAAATCAGCATTCGGAAGAATAAATGCCTGATGTTTGTGGTTGACTGAAACATGTGGTTGGCTAAAATACGCGGAACCTTCGTATTTTCTTATTTTAAGGAGAGCAGTATTAAATATAGGCACTGCAAAGGATGATCAGGCCTAATCTTTTATTGATGGTTCACTACTCACTGTAGCACTGAAGATGCTTCTCACCCTATTAAGCCTTCAAAGAGTCATTTCGCACTTCTAACTATCCGCTGTGGTGTAACTCAGAACTTATGTCGTTGTACTGCTAAGTTACCAGTTGTGCCTTCGGTTTCGACCATGGAAGCAGCACTGCAGTAGAAACAAATTATTTATAAGACTTCTTTTGGCTGCAATGGAAATAAAAGGAACATAGGTGCCTATTTTTTTGTTGTTAGACATAAACTTCATGAAAAAAAATGGAAAATCAATTATAAAAGGTCACAGTTTTGCCGCAAAAGCGAAGCAATGAATGAGATATATGAATGCGAAATATATTTGCGGTGTGATTTCTAGTAAATATGGCGTAAACGGGGAATATATGAAGAATATGAAGAGCGAACTTGCCGCCCGCCGGCATCGAGCATGCAACTTTCGAATAACGCCTCATATGATCCAGGAATAGAGTTACATTGAAGGTCATCTTACCATCCACTTCATCGGGCATGTTTGTGCATTTAAACCTTAAAGTGTTAGTCAGTGCTGCCGTAGCTCAATTGATATAACCCCAAATGCGCTATTGGAAGATTGCACGTTTGTTTTCTGCCTGCGGCAGATGTCTTTTACAGTGAAAGCTGTTATGAGATCGAAACTCGGGTCACGCACGGCGCCGTAGATGTCCGACGCCGCCTGCGTCCGCAACCACTATTGCGAAATAAGAAAAAAAAATGCTAGTACCAGGGACAGAGTGGGGCTTGAAGATGGTTCACTGCGTGCTAGCCCAGTATTCTACCACTGAGTTACGCTGGTGCTTGGGACTCGTTCACAAATTTTCCTTAGGCAGGCTTGATGTCGAGATATGAATCGCGTAATCATGAGTATGAAAGCGTTTTAGAACAGCAAAAGCACAACGAGGTGTCGCACAATGAGAATAGCATGACGAGTGGGTCATCCGATGCTCCGACCCGTTACAGATGCTTGTTTTTGATCATTTAATAACTGTGCCACATACCAACTTGAGGCATAACTTTTCATTGACGTCAGCGACTGATCGAACAATCGGCAGAAAAGTACTTGCAAGTGTTTAGCGGATACAACGCTTCTCAGAAGAATGACAAAAAATAGTATAGCGAATGTTTCTCTACTAACCGGAAGTAGATGTTATATTAATAATGGCGTAGTGTGTACCCAGCTAGTACGCTTGCAGCAGTTACCCAATGAGTGTTTAGAAAAGGTTCTGAAAGACCACTCTTCTAGCTTTCACTGTGACTGTGCTGCATTTCAGCGCAGCCATGGCGTTTTTTAGATGCGGAGCCTCTTATACTCGCGCCTTGTAGTGCGCCGTCCACGTCGTCCGCGCCGTCCACACCGCTTCTCGAACATTCGACAGCTGACGCGCGCGCATGCGCCGTCGCGCCGTCGCCCACTCTTCCACCATCTGTGCATCCCTTCCTCCTCTACACACCGCGCGCGCTTCACTCCTCCACCATCTGTGCACCCTTCCTCCTCTACACACCACGTTCGACATCTACAATTCTCCTGATTCTCCAGTGGACGCGCATGTGGCGTCGCGCTTCGAGAACATTCAACAGCTGACAGTGCATGCGCCGTCGTGCTGTATATATACTCAAGGTCGGCGCTCGCTCGCTCAGTTGCCGCTCGTCGGTTGGTTTGTACGGCGCGTCGACGTCCAAGGTCGCGGTGAAATGAATTCCAACGAATCCACAAACACAATGATCGACGTCCCTTCGACCAGCGCCGCCCTTTCGCATACGTGTGTACGTGTTCACTCATTTAACACCCCCTCCTACAACCACGTTAACCAATTTAGCCATCGACCCAAGTAAGTCGCAATTTAACACCCCATTTCACAACCACGTTAACCAATTTAGCCATCGACCCAAGTAAGTCGCACTTTAACACCCCGTTAACCAATTATATGGTCCGCATCCTCCTCAGTGTTCCCACGAGGGAAGCTGCGGGCAATTTTTTTTTCGCTTGTCATAATTTTATATCCTTTTTCTTTTAGGTTAAGGTGAAAAATCTTATGGAACATTGTAAGCGTATATGAGCGAACACAACAATCGCATCAGCATGCCGTTCTAGGTGTGCGTCATGGTTGATGTAGACACGCTGGGATGAACGAAACGATTACGTGTGCCCGATGATACTGGGAGCCACCTAGCCATTAGGCCAAGGATATAATATGTAATGTTATTTCAAATACTCATGATAAGAAATGCAAAAGTCAAAGCGAACAAAAAAAATTGCCCGCAGCTTCCCTCGGGGGAACACTGAGGAGGATGCGGACCATATAATTGGTTAACGGGGTGTTAAAGTGCGACTTACTTGGGTCGATGGCTAAATTGGTTAACGTGGTTGTGAAATGGGGTGTTAAATTGCGACTTACTTGGGTCGATGGCTAAATTGGTTAACGTGGTTGTAGGAGGGGGTGTTAAATGAGTGAACACGTACACACGTATGCGAAAGGGCGGCGCTGGTCGAAGGGACGTCGATCATTGTGTTTGTGGATTCGTTGGAATTCATTTCACCGCGACCTTGGACGTCGACGCGCCGTACAAACCAACCGACGAGCGGCAACTGAGCGAGCGAGCGCCGACCTTGAGTATATATACAGCACGACGGCGCATGCACTGTCAGCTGTTGAATGTTCTCGAAGCGCGACGCCACATGCGCGTCCACTGGAGAATCAGGAGAATTGTAGATGTCGAAAGCGGTGTGTAGAGGAGGAAGGGTGCACAGATGGTGGAGGAGTGAAGCGCGCGCGGTGTGTAGAGGAGGAAGGGATGCACAGATGGTGGAAAAGTGGGCGACAGCGCGACGGCGCATGCGCGCGCGTCAGCTGTCGAATGTTCGAGAAGCGGTGTGGACGGCGCAGACGACGCGGACGGCGCACTACAAGGCGCGAGTATAAGATGCTCCGCATCTAAAACTAATAGTTGTAAGGAAAGAACAGGCCGGTTGAAGCGGAGACGGAAGAGATGATTTTTTTTTTATTAAGGCGGTTCACTCACGACGAAAGTCCCTGGGTCTTATCCATAGTAGCCATGGCCGTAGCCTCCGTAGCCTCCGTAGCCTCCATGACCGTAACCGCCGTGACCATATCCATGCCCGTAGATTATCTTCTTGAATCCGTATCCGTGACCATAGCCTCCGTGGCCATGACCGTAGCCTCCATATCCATGGCCGTAGCCTCCGTAACCACCGTAGCCTCCGTAGCCACGGCCATAACCGCCGTAACCTCCATATCCGTGACCGTATCCACTGTATCCTCCGTAGCCCCCATAACCACCATAGCCGCCATATCCGCCGTAGCCGCCATAGCCACCGTAGTGTCCAAGACCATATCCGTAGCCAGCATAGGCGATGGTAGCTGCCATGCACAGAATAGCGAGCACGAGCTGCAGGAAGGAATGTTATATTACGCCAGGTGAAGCAAAGCTTTGCTTATTGTCATTCATGCTTGCTTGGAGCGCAATAGTTTTGGGTTGTGATCCGGCTTTGTAAATTGTTTTGTAAGAGCACGTGTGCTCGAGTACACCTGCCCGCATCCCGTCTCCTTAGAATACCATCAAGTATTAACGTTACCGGCTGGTAAGCTGCAGACGAAGTCTTCTACCTGCATATCAATACCCATATTCTGCGATAATCATAGCGGAAATCATCCCGTTGGCTTAGCGTCACGGTGGGTTATAGTATATTTTCAAAGAAACCTACACGCTGTAAAGAGTAAATAATACATTTCCCAGAAAACAAAATCTTAAGATATCCTGCTTGGAAAATCCTGTTTTTTTCTGACCTATGGTCGCAGTACCTTCTCTGTTTCGCCTGCTATCAAGGTTATTTTGCATGTTTAGAGCTCATCAGCTGTTGAAAAATTGTCAACAAAATGCTTAGTGCCCACGTATTTCTCATATATGGGTCTCCTAGAGCAAGCGCTGAGACAGTCTCATGTAAACAAGCAATATTGACAGCGATATCATTTATTATTTCGTTTAACCAGGTAACTTACGTCATCAAAGATATATGTCGATTGAAAATACGTGAAGCCAAGAATACACTTAAGGTTGGGCTGTTCAGGTTTAGGAGTAAAAAATAAATACCTCTTTAATATGCACTGTTGAAAGGCCTGAGACTCAGATGTGCACTTTACGAATGAGTTGCTTTGAAATCTTGTTTAGTATAGCATTTGAGCCTAATTTTAAATGACTATAAATGGTAACCATCATGGTTCACATAATCAGATAGACATCTTGTTTTTCTGTTTTGAGTCACTGCATCTATTTCGCGTTGGCTATGAGATACAAATGTAGTGAAATATTCGGAGTCACTTTCTTCAGCATGCTGTTCAATCACAGCACACAGTCCGCTTGTCCCATTGCTGGTTAGGCCTCACTTTTTATTAGGTATTGAATGACCTTTATGAGTACCAGGCATTGAGCAAACATTGAAATTGGCGGTGACATACTAAGCTCTGCATCTCTATGAACGACAATTTACATCGAGGAAGCATTGAAACTGACTGAAACATACCAACCCCGTAGATGTACAATATTTACAAGGCTTTTCTTCTCAGGATACTTAATCTTCAACGTCATCGGCGCACTCACTTTAAAGCCTTGATTGAATGATTCCGAATAATTCAGTAAGTGTCTCACAAAAACACCCTAAATAATCAATGATAGAATAAAAAAATATTTGGTGCTGAGTATGCTGAAGTATTCTGTTAAAGCTAAAGTGTCATCAAGCAAAACTTTAACGCTGCTTACCACGGCTTTCATGTTTGTCCCTGTACGGCGATCCTCGTCTTGCACAGATCGGAAGGAGTGGACACTACGGGTGCTCTAGGTCAGTGGAAGTTGGCTTTTATACCCAGGCTTCGCCTTTGACGTTTGCGTGGCGTTCATGAGCTGGGCCAATATCCGGAACCGTTTTCGCCTCTCTGGTGACCTACAAGAGCTGCAGTGAAGGGCCGACCGGTCGTGTTCCAGTGGCTGGGCTCATTGTCAGGAATTGACGGTAACCTTGCCTCGATATCTCCTTTGTTGCTTTATTTTTTTTTTCTATTTCATCTGCCACGTGGCGCGCCTCTCAAAAGCTCACCCGAACATTTCACTTTGTGTGCCGCTCCCGGGCGTCAGTGTTTTAAGCGTGCCAGCCATTCAAGGTAGCCCGTAAGTATAGGCCATTGCTGCTCCAGATGCAAGCCATCCTGAGGAATTTTTCTTGGCGATTGATACGGGGTTACTCCGCAGTTTAGCATTGACGGCTATTTTTGCTGTCACCGTTGCTAGCGATATAGGACATCATTGATGAACAATAGTACCCTTTGTTTCCGGTTACTCACCTCAAATGCAGAGGATAAATGTTTACTATAGTCGGCTACAAGTGCAACACAGTATGGGGAGCGTAGATCGTTTCAAATCCACTTATATGTTAGCCGCACCCTGTATTTGGTATCGCAATTACCATTTAAAAGAACAAAGAGAGAATAAGAAAAAAAACAATCATATGAGTATGACCGGATACACGAAAAAGATAATCCGCTCAACCAGATATCGTTTAACGCATGCCATCGACAGAAAGTAAAAAAAAAAGACCAAGTTCTGTGATGAGAGAAAAGTTAATGTCATTTAGCCGTGCCGCTCGTCACGTTCGATACCACTGCTCCTCAGAAATATTATATATAATAATGTATAATATATACTTGGGATGTAGAAACAGCGCAAAATATACACAAGGGTCAGCGGAGGACAGCGTGGTGTCGTCTCTTCCTCTGTCCTTGTCTATATTTTTTGCGCTGTTTCTACATCCCAAGCATGAACCAACATCTAGCCCAACTTTCGCTACTATTGCAATATATAATATAATAGGTATATTTGTCATCATTGTGAGATACAGATGGGGGGATTGTAGGAAAGAAGCCGTCTCCGGACGCTTGACTACAACCCTATGTATTTGGCAGTGCAGCAATATTACATGCAAACATATTACATAATAATATAAATACATATATACTCCTGCACTTTTACACAATTATACAAACCCAAAGCCACACACACACGCATATATACATACAGGGGTATGCTAGCGCTTTACCATATTTCAACACACACTTTTTTTAAAAGACAACAGAATAAAAATCGTGTTTTTATTGCACATGACTCTATGCAAAAACCACATGCATCCTTTTAAGATCTTTGAAAGAGGCCGTAAGAAGATCAAACTGCATCGAATTATAGCTGTTTAGTAGTGTAGGTATTGTGTAGCGAAGCATTTGTTTTCCGTAGCTTGAACGCGGTGTTGTTACTAACCACTCCTCTAAGTGTCTGGTACCGTAACTTGAAGCTTTTCTATGAAGTTGGGCAACATTACATAAATTGTTTATGTTCCGATAGTGATCATGTTTGTATATGTGACTCAAACAATATTGGTACAGATTATGTGCAGCGATCAAGCCCGAATTCTTGAAAAAAAGTTATTGTCGATGCTGTGTAAGAAGCGTTCTATGCGTGCCGGAGATAATTTTTTGTTTGTAACAGGAAAATACATTCTATATTAGGGTGTTTTGTGTTACCCCTATCCTATTTGACAATAGTTTAATTGTCACTGAAAAAGTGAATTATATAGTAAGAGTTTAACACATGTGGGAAGAATGTAGCGTAAGCGACCTACTACTCCTGTGATATCGCTTGCCTTACTTAGGACGAAATTAACATGATTATCGCATGACGTGTTGGCAAGAAAGGTAACACTCAAACATTTGCAAGTTTTCGGTAATTTCGATATTTCGGGAACGTAACATAATGTCTTAGTGTAGAGGTATGCAGCTTAATCTTTGGCCTGAATATGACTGCTTTTGACTTGCCTACATTTATTTTCATTAAATTTAATGCAGACAACTCGTCTAGATTCTTCATTGTATTGATACAATGTTTTATTAGATCATCAATATCATTACCAGTGAGAGATATGCTTGCGTCATCCGCGTAAACAATAAAGTTTGCCTCAGGGTCAATATTGATAATATCGTTCAGATAAATGTTAAAAAGTAGAGGCCCTAAGATACTTCCTTGTGGTAATCCGCAGTGGACAATCTTACCTTAGAAGCAAATGTGTCGATTTTCACAATTTAGGTTCTGTTAGATAAGTAGAATTTGACGAGAGATAATGTCTTTCTTCGGATTCCGTAATAGCATAATTTTTGTACTAAAATGTTATTGTCAACCAAATCAAAAGCTTTTGAAAAGTCTACGAAAATACCAATGACTCTAGCTCTATTTTCAAGCCCTGTGAATATATATTCTTTCTGTTCTGCCAGTGCTAATTCAGCTGATTTATTCTTACAAATTCCAAATTGGCGTGGTGTTAGCAGGTTATGTTTTTCAATGAAATTTGCTATTCTATATGCAAAACGTTTTGGAAAATCTTTGAAAAGATTGGCAAAATAGATACCGGCTTAGGAATTTCCTAGATTGTTTCGGTCTCCCTTTTTGTACAGAACGGTCACTTTCGCCGACTGCATTTTTACAGGAGAAATTGCCGATTGCAGACACAAAATTAAGATATGAGCTAGTATAGGAGCAATTATTTCATCTGCATGTTTAATTGGGGCACCCAAAAACCACCAATGTCACAATTAGTGCTATTTTTTTCTTTTTTATAATCGAGATAACTTCGTGTGCCGTGACTGGTTCAAGGTATATTGTATTCTCGCTATTAGTGTGATAGTATTTACTTGCCTGAGGAGGCTTATCTTGAGCGCGTGCAATATCTGTAAAAATATTAGTAAACGCATCAGCTAGTTCAACACCTGATAATTCTTTACCATTAATTTGCAGATGCTGTAATGTTTGTGACGCTCATTGCGATTTAAAAGTCTGTTTAGCCTAGGCTATAAAGGACTGTGGTTGCGGCTTTCAATGACAAGTAGGGATGAGTAGTACGTTGTGCGTGTATGCCGTAATTTCGTAGTCAGTTTGTTTCAGTACTTTTTAAATATGGCGAGGTCATCTGCTGATCGTGTGTAAAAGAAATGTTTATACAACTTGTCCCTGATTTTTATTACCTGACGTAGTTCAGACGTCACCCAAGGGTTCCTAATTTTTCTACTTTTTTTACGTGTTTCGGAAGAAAAGCTTTGGTGATATATGACAGAGAATATGTAAATAAACGTATTGTAAGCTTCATTAGCACTGGTTATTTCAGTTGTCACATCTGATTCCGCTTTCAGCAAGGAGTCACAAAAATATCGTAAAGTTTTTTTCTGAAATTGCTCAGTAATAAGTTGCAGAGAATGGTTTTCCTTTAACCCACATATTTCAGCGCACAAAAATACTGCCAAGTGATCACTGACAGAACAAGATAAGACACAAGATTT